CGGAACACACTGTCTTCACGCATACATTTTTCCATCTACATTTGGTAGAGGGGAGTGACTTATATGTAGGTAGAAATATGTATGCGTGGAGACAGTATGTTCCGCCCCCCCTTCGGGGGGGGCTTCACCTCGTTAAAAATAACCCTACCCACCCTATGTCAGAGATGTGGAGTGAATATCGCTTCACGTGGAAAGTTGCAAACCTATGTGGAACAGTACAACGGCGGAAGTACATGCGTGGAGACAGTATGTTCCGCCCCCCCTGCGGGGGGGCTCCACTTTGTTAAGATATAACCTAACCCAAACTACATCCGAGGTGTGGAGTGGATCTCGCCTCACGTGAAAAGTCGCAAATCCATATGGAATCGTATATGTACAAAGCACATGCTTAGATGAGAGGACAGATATAAAATTTAGAGTCCATCATTTTTCTCGAAAACTATCACTCGTAGAGTAAAAATGAATAGGACATAAAATATATATTTTAAAGAGATCTACAACTTTTGTTTAAAACATTTTTCAAAATTTTTAATATTTGTGTCTGAAAATTACATATAAATGGTCGACATTGTTTTTTTAATAACTTTTTAACAAACAACGAGCGACGGCTAAAACCTTCTGAGCGTTACTCAGGAAGGTAACCTTGACAACATATGTCAAGGTCAAGGTCATCGGAGCTGACTCCCCTATAGTGAACATTTACCGATAAAACTGTGTATTACAAATAGTAAAAGTGGGAACCACACTAACTACGAATGTAAGTAACATTAAAATTAGATCTTATCACAAAAGCACTGTTCAAACACTGTGTGATTTCAGTCCTTCTGCCTCTCAGATTGCCTTACCTTATTACGATGTACATCATGCCTTTAAAAAAGTAACAAGACTCGAGTATTTAAAATAATAATAATATTTATTTAATGCATATATATATATATATATATATATATATATATATATATATATACCTTAAAATATTATTTCAGTCTATCTAAAAATATTGAATGTATGTATCGGTATATTGTTCATAGTTTTATTTCTAATTACTAATAAAACTGCTATAGCAGATAGTTATAGTGTGGTTTATGTTACTGATAGATTATTAATACATCAGTAACATATCCTAATGTTAAAATAAATGCATTACAACAAGAGAATTGACAGTAAATGTTCAAAGGTAAAATTCGTATCTGTTTAATTCTCGTGCTGTACATAATTGTTCATAAATGATACGAATTGGGATAAACTTTACACAAAAAGACTTCTTTACTAGCATGTATTGCATTTTGAGACGAGAGACCAGTTACATCGAAATCTGTTGTTGAATCCAGGGTATGTATGTGGCTGTATCTTCGTAGACGATAAATGTTTTTTGATCGCAAAGCAAACTGATATCATTATTAGGAAATATAGTTCGCGAAATGATACCGCGCAACTGATAACGACCTGTGAGATTGTTCAGAAGCACAAACCCGCTCCCGCTGTCACCGTGGCAAGGACCGGCTTCTAGCGAGGTGGCGCAAAAGCTACGATTCGAAAGGAGCCTGTCACGTCCAGCGCACATTTTTCGCTGACGTGGTTAGTAGCGGTAGTAATTGCCCACCCGATAGGTATCACTGGCGCGGCGCGGCTACTAGCACGCGCGCAACACGTGATTAGCAGATATTCGCTCTCCTTCTTTTCCAAGTTTAACGATAGAATTCAGCGATTAATTGACGATAGCCGAGGCAGCCACTACAACAGACGAATCCTTGGCGCCTCCGCTTTCGCCCCAAATTGATAAAAAGTTAATAATAACGAACAATAAGCTAACATCAACGATTTCCGTGGAAGGAGTGAACTCCACGGGAACCGTCGATCACAGCCGTGTGCGAGGGCGCTATGCGCCTCCACCGGTAGCCACGATGGCAATCAAGGCCATTAAAAACCGTTGTAAATAAGAGAAATATACCATTTATAGAAATTCCGGCGAAGCTTCTAGAAGGTTCGATGCCTACGTGACTCGACGCGATTTAGCGGAACTCTAGGGAGAAAAACAAGGGATCGGTATGCGGATTAATTAATCGGCGGCGCGCGGCAAATTTAAAGTTTGAAAAACGGCATAAGGATGAACGGAGGCCCTTTGCCAAGGTGACCAAAGCTCAAATTGTTTAGAGCACCGGAAGGTGCAATAATTAGCACGTTAAAGGCAAATTCCGAAGGGCCCCCGCTCATCACCACTTCCGCACTTGCCCTACAACCTAACAGTATATAAGCGGGCCATCGGAGCCCGAATTCGCAGTACGTTTTCCAACGTTTCACGAGACGAAGCTCTGTCCGATAGCCAAGCCTCAGGAAAAGGGAAAATAAGTAAGGACGGCAAAGCTCTGCCCGACTATAACCCGGCATTATTCTCTGCCTGTAAAAAGAAACGGAGTGAGTGAGAGTGCGATAATCGGAGTGAAAGTAAGTGGATTAACACAGTGACACTTAACCATAATTTAATATCCTGCCCCGTCGAGGTAATAATTAATTACTGTCCGCGGAATACCTTGTTGTCCGGTAGTAATACTCTGCCCCCGCTTCCTTCGGCGACGAAAACTGTGATACCTCCACCTTTCGGATGCGCGCTCGCTGCCGGGCGTTCTTCTAATCCATCTGCCACTTGGTTGCGCGCTCTCCACAGGGCGTTCTCCCAATCCTGCCTCCACCTCTCGGATGCGCGCTCACTGCCGGGCGTTCTTCTGATCCATCTGCCACCTTGGTTGCGTGCTCTCCACAGGGCGTTCTTCCAATCTTGCCTCCACCTTTCGGATGCGCGCTCGCTGCCGGGCATTCTTCTGATCCGTCTGTCACCTTGGATGCGCGCTCTCCACAGGGGGTTCTTCTGAGACTCCTCCACCTTCGAATGCGCGCTCTTGCACAGGGCGTTCTTCATTGGAACCGATTCACCAGCCCGGCATTAAGCACCCGGGTCCTATCTGAATCACGTACACCTTCGCCTCTTTTTCTGTTTCCTTACGCCTCGTACCTTTTGTTTTGCTGTTTCTTTTTCGCCGTCGTCTCCGTTCCCCGAGTCAGACCCCACAAAAGAAAAGGGGGACTCATCCAGACAATCATGACAATTTTCCCATCTCTCATTGCTACCGGCAATTTAACAGGGTCCCCTCGCTGTTAGGGAAACCTCGAATGGGCACCTGGCACACGGGGAAATAAACGAACCAAACAACGTTGTTCCAGATACGCATTGTGGTTTTCGGAACAAGCATTTGAGCCAGTAAGGCATGCAAATAAGCACATACTCGGGCCCCTGCATATTATGCCAATTATCAAGTTCCTTTTCTTTTTCTTTTCTTATAAGATCCGTGATAGCGGACAGGGACGATTTTGTTCCCCAGTAATATTTTGCTTTTGTTTTCATCTTTCCTCCTTTCTTTCGTCAATTTGTTATTAATTCTGCTAACTCAAACACTCAAGTATCCTCGTTCGCGGTAGTTATAAGGTAATTAAAGTGGATATAGCGTTGCAATGGAGTACAATGATGATAGCAACGCAACTGAATCTCAGTGATTAATGCACGCTACTGATTGTGAGTACTCCCATAAAAGCCAATGCTTTCCACCCACGAGTAGAGGAAACGGGAGGAGGACTACTACACAACTCCGTGCAATTCCGTGTGTGCCAGAGCAGGACACCGTTATTTACCCTCCCCACTAATTAACCCACACATTCCCTCTCGTGTGAATAACCAAATTTAATCATGAGTGCCTTCCGCAGGGAGCCCTATTATGGGCCGGTCCTGCCGCTCAGGGCGGCAGCGCCAATTACGGCGTCTGGTTAAGGCGCACCACCAGGTGCGGGTGTTTGACCCGCGGGTTTTCGACCGGTGTGCCCGTAAGGCCCCTGTGCCAGCGCCCCGGGAGACGCACCACCCGCCACTGCCTCTCCCTCACGCGCAACCTCCTCCCCCTTACTCGCGGGTCCCTCCCCCGCATTCTCAACCACCCCCCTCATACCCTCAGCCGCCTCCTCCGAAGCTCCCTCTCCCGCGTGCCGAGAAAATCCAGACACCTCCAGTCCGCCCACCCCCACTAACCTCCGGCTACCACTGTCCTCAACGGGTGTGGAGGCCGCGGCCTCCAATCACCCCTCCACCACGGGCACCTCTGGCCTCGATCCCAGGTCCAGCACTGTCGCCCGTCTTAAAGGAACCGGCGATCGCCCGGCACCCACTGCTCGTCCGAGGGTGGTCTCGGTCGTGCCACTCCAGCGGAGGGTAAAAATTATCCTCCCGCGAGTCGACGCTCCGAAAAAGGGGCGGAATATGCCCTTGTTATAAGGCCCCCCCCCTTCCACCAGGCATTCATCATGTACACGCACAACCAATAAAGTAATCATACAACCACATTCACACACACTCATTCATACACCTACACACACACACACACAACTTTCACATCTCCTCTTCCGTCTCTGCCTTTCCTCTTCTTGTCAGAAGATTTCTGACGTCCCCCACGCCAAAATAAAAACGCGGGACGTAACAAGCCGAATGAACAAATGATCGCTCCGGAGACAGGTCTCCTGTAATTTGAGCAACAATGTTGGCTCATCATCATTTACACAATTTGATCTACAACGATAGCGAAATATATCAATGTTTTTTATATGTATTATAGTTAGGATCTCGCATTGTGAGCAATTGTGTTGCAGCAAGATCGGTCGTGAAATTTCAAGAGTGCATTTTTACTACATGATTAACTATCGTGCTTATCGATTCAAATGGCGTATTCGTCAATTTACAAGTCCATTTGTCATGGATATATGCAATGATAATAATTTCATAATAGCATGAACTCTAATTTACCGTGTAAACGTATTAAAATTAAATGGAATATCATTGCTAACAATGTTTAAGTATTTCTCTGTCGTGACATATTCGGACATATGTACGTCGGAATTGTTGTCATCAAGGTGCCACACATTTGCAGAGTTTTGTTTTAAATTAAAAGGATCGCCCAATTGCGATTGTGAATTCGTATGTTCATCGAACAATGAACATCGGGAAATCGGAAAATCCAGTAAAGGTGCTTACCTGATTCACTATTGTCACTCTCGCCATGTGTTGTTCCTCGACAGCACGACCACGCAACGAATCTGGGCCCCAGCCCACGACGTATCCTGTGCTATTGACGGCTTCACCAAGAGTTATTGAACTGGACCATAGACAAATAGGCTTAATGAAAGGGTTAAACTCGACGGGTTTCTTCAAGATCAAAATAGCCAAATCGGCGTCGACACCAGTCGGTAGATAGTCAGGATGGATAACATATCTCGCGATCTCCGGATTGGAAATTCCATTTCGGCGAAACCGGCGCAAGTCAGTGTGCCCTACGATTACCTTCAACATGTTAGGGGGTAAGCTACGTTGAGAGTCTTTCATCACACAATGCCCAGCTATAAGAAGAAAATATTGTATATGTATGTACATTTTCTAATAATCCGTACATTCTATCTAGAAATATCCTGCACACCCTTCCGTATTATTTAATATATCTGATATTGTAATTAAATGTCTTATATTAATTAGTATAACAGAAAATAATTATATATGTAAAATATTTATAATCAATATTTATAGTGACGCAGCGTTTTGAACTTTCTATAAAATTTTCAAGACATCTTGGATGTGTTAATGCTAATCTCGAGAATGGTGATTAAGAAATTATTTTCAGATACTTTATTACTACCACACATATTCCCTAATTATATTCGGGTGAATTGTGATAAATGTCTGCGAGAATTAACAGAATTCTATTTTATTACGCAGATAAAATTAAGAATCTTACTTTAAAGGCAACAGAACGAGAAGTTCACATAGCTCGATATACGAGAAGCACAATTTTTACTAATTCTTTTCGATTAGCATAATACCTGTTATTATGTGTCTGTTTGTCAAGATGGTACCACCACATTTATAATTATATGTATATTGCCCTGAAACTATCTTCTCTGTTTTCCACGAAGATTGCAACCACCCACGGCCATTGTCCTGGTAATGCGATATCACCGTTGGGGAGAAGATTGTTTGTGCTATCGGAGTAGTAGCTGGTAATACCGCATTCGTCGTTGTTATTGAAAATCGGATTGTTTATACGGTAGCTGGTCACATTTCGATGCCATGGCTGAAAATTCTGTGATGCTTGTTCTTCGTTTGGCGAGTACACAATATGCCCCAACTCGATATCAGCTCTGATATTTCCATTTAACACTGCCAAAAGACAAAATGCAACATATATCTCTTAAGTCGCATTTTCTTTTAGATGAGAAAAGTTTGAAAATATATAATATGATAAGAAGATGTATGATAAGAAGAAACTTTCAATTGTTTTAATGAGAGCCTTATTTAGTGAGTTTTGTCTTCCTATTTATCTCTGCTATACTAATTGAAAATTACGCACAATGTTTTGCGAGTGAAAACTTCATGGGACTCATTATCAAAGGAACTAATAACTTGCTTCTATTTTAGTGATATTTGCTTCTATTTTCCGCGAATATATGTGATGCCCCTATATTCTATTTTAAGCAAATGCATTACTTACCTTCAGGCTCTACACAATATTGTTGGTTGTTAAACCATATTGAGGATAATGTTGGAAAATTTTCGCTCGAAGGAAAATGAACATGATACAACAAATGTCTGCTTTGTTGAACAGCTTGAATGGATTCTTTTATCGGTCGTGCCAATTCTAATCGAAAGGTTTCGTTCTGGAACACAATTGTTATTGTATTTTAAAAAGGATTTTGTAACGTGCTAAAATTATTAGATATCGCCGGAATTAATAGCCATAAACTTATATGTATAAATTTTTGTATCCTGCTTTCTTAATTAACTTAAAAAAAACTTACCAGCAAGTCTGTGGTAGCATTTAAAGCTACTCTTAAATAAAATTCACCATTTTTTGGCGGAGATAGGATTTCGATCCGTCCTATTGTAATATCTTGTATGCCTTAGGATGGATCGTGTATGTGAAATATTCCGAGCACGAAATTCTACCATGTACCATGGTAATCGTTAGGTATGGCAGCATCACGATGAAAATAAATATCTTAGCCATCGTGTAAAGTTCTGTTAAAAAACTGGTAAAATCCAAATTTTCTAAATTATAATTTTAGAATACACTTATTATTATACACTGTATTTGTTATTTGCTGGATAATCTTCGAGGGGATCAAACGCTTCATCTTGAACCCATGTTTCATATGTCACAAGTAGATTAGATAAAATAATGTCGCTTTTGTAACGTTATTCACTTTCTAATTAGTATGAACATTAACGAACATTACAATATTTCAGATTAATCTGCACTCGAACGGTTGATGAGCTTAAATAAACCCTATCTTTTAAAAGAATTTTTAAAAACAATTCACATTTAATAACTTCTCTACGCAAGCAACTTCATCTATAAATGAACTGTTCATCCTCAATCATTTGTGAAAAAATATCATTATACAGGGTGTCATTTAATATTGGGGACTGTTTTAGTGTGCAGGTAGAGCGGACTAGACCGAGTCGAAAGAAAAGTCCTGTACCATTTTGCAATTTTCGCAATAGATAACGAGTAATGAATTATTCAAAATTGTCGTCTTAGCCCGGCCCACCTCCCAATTCGAGCTTTCGAACATTTCGAACTTTCCGTGCGCCTGGTAATATCAATCGCCGGGCGATCACATCTCGCCACGCGCTCGAATTGGGATGTGGGCCGGGCTAAGACGACAATTTTTAATAATTAATTACTCGTTATCTATTGCGAAAATTGCAAAATGGTACAGGACTTTTCGACTCGGTCTAGTCCGCTCTACCTGCACACCAAAAAAGTCCCCAATATTCAATGACATCCTGTATATGTAGATGTTGAGATATAAACGAAAAAATATTTTATATTACTAAACAGAGTATGGGACATTGTAGTAACGCCAGATATTGCATATAGAGTCAATAGCGAATATATATTACGCAATATGTGCCGGCGATAAAATAACAAATGTAAAAATTTTAAGACCTGTCTTTTGGAAAAATCACTTTAATTCTTTTACTGTCATAATAATATGTAACAGAATTATTATTTATCTTTTGCTTTTTAAAATACCAGACTGCATTTTCTTATCAATAGTTATAATGTATTTCAAGCGTTCCGAGTTATACTTTGATATCTTGTCTTTGATGTCTTACTTATTTGTTATGTTTTCATACTTATTATTTTCTATTACACTTTTTTTAGACACTCTTCTAATTCTAAAATATTCTTCTTAATGTTTCGACGTGAACTTCAATGCTGCGGCGACTAGTTTCACGTATTCGGACGAATACTAAATCTCGGATCCACTCTGCTACACCTTCACTGTATGTTTATAAGACTAACCAGTTTTCTGTCGGAACCGTTTAAAACATATCTATAGTTTTCATGTTGTAGTCGCATTTGACTGGTGCGGTAGTGGGATATCGAGAGTCAAGTAATGATGAGTCAATCACACCCCTGTGAAGATAGCCCCCCATTATTTAAAAATTTAACTTTTTTACGAGTTCCCTATAGATTTACAATAGTTCCAGAGTTCTTGATGGGTTTTAGAAATAGTTCTGCCCATTAAAGACGTTAAAATGAATTTTTAAAAATGGGGGGCTAACTTCACGCAGCCC